CCCCTGTGAAGAAACCAGACAACACCATGATCAGAAACTAAAAAACTAACATCACCACTGAGGGGCAGGCCAACGGCATGTACTTCAGTATCATACCCTAGAAAGGATACAAAATCCCCAATTGGGGAGGCATAGCCCAAAACTAATTATGAGGAAACATCCACAAATCCAACCTGAGAAATATTCTATGACATAGATAAGCCTGTATTCTTCAAAAATGTTAACACAATGAAAGAGAAAGCCTAAGACACTGTTCCGGATGAAAGGAGACTGAAGCGATATGACAGCTAAATGCGACTGGCAATCCTGACACAAATCCTATGGGGGAAATGCTGTATGTGTGTGAAAGCCACTCAGTCATGTCTGACTCTTTGCGACCCCATAGACTAGCCTGCCAGACTCCTCCATCCATGGAATTCTCCAGGCTAGAACACTGCAGTGGTTAGCCATTCCCTTCTCCAGGGGATCTTCTTCCAACCCAGGGATGGAACCCAGGTCTCCTGCATCGCAGGCGGATTCTTTACTGTCTCAGCCAATGGTGCAAAGGTACAAATGTTATTACTGGAACAAAGGGAAAAAACTGTAATAGAGGCTAGAGATTAGATAATGATATAGTACTATCAGTGTTAGATTACCTGAATCTCATTAACTGTATTGTGATAATGCAAAAGAATACAATATACAAAGAATATTTAGAGACATGGTTATAACACATGCAATTTTCAAATGATTCAGAAAAGAGCACTAAAGCAAATGAGACAAAATTTTTAAAATGGTAAATCTGATTAAAGGATATTGAAGAGTTCTCAGTATCATTTTTTTAAACTTTTAAGTGTGAAATTACTTCAAAATTAAAAAAATTTAAATAAAGGCAAATTGGATGTCAAAAGGTAGTTTAAAAAACTACTTATTCTGATGCCCTATAAGACATATGAATAAGGGAAATGAATGCAACAGTGACTCAGACTGGCACAATGCTGCATATAGAACTTCCTAAACTCTCAATTCTCTAGAAAAACAAAACAGAACAAATTTTGGGGGGTTGAGGGGGAGGGGAGGCAGTTCTGTATGGCATGTGGGATCTTAGTTCCCCCACCAGGGATCGAACTTGTTCTACCAACTCCCACCCTCAAATTGTGAGTGTGGAGTCTTAACCACCAAACTGCCAGGGAAGTCTCAAGAAAAATGTTTTTTAAGTAACCACATAAACACTAAGATGCTGATCCTGCATACACTCAGGAAAACACAGAAATCTATGACTTCACATCAACACAGACCACACTGAGGGATTCTCCATTCATCCAGCAAACCATAAGCTCCTTTGCAGGCAGGCCTTAAGGTCTTGCTCTTTGTTTTAACTCAAGCACTGACACAGGGCCTGAAATAGAGCAGACATATTTGCTGAATAAATGATGACTGTTTAGAAAGAGGAACAAAAGTCTACATTTTATCAAAATTCGGAGGAAGAGAAAGAAAAGGAGGAGACATCTAAATAGGGTATCAATTATTTCTAATGCATTGAAAAATATGAAAATTTTCAAACCTCACAAAAGCAGAGAATATTATTACTATGCATATACCTATCTCTCCAACACAATTATCAGGCTATTTCACAATTGCTTCATCTCCACTCATCTCTCGCATCTTTTTTGGCTCTGAAATAACTTTTAAACAAATACCAGACATCTTATTTCTCTTCCTCATTCTTCAGTTTTCATCTCTAAAAATGAGCATTTTCTTATATAAACATAATGCCATTAGTATTCTTCACAAAAACTAACAATAATCCCTGATGTCATCTAATAGCTATCTACCTTCAAATTTCCTCCTAAGTGCTTCAAAAATTACTTTCTACAATTGGTTTGAGTCAGGACTTAAATAATGTCAACATTACATTTGGTCACCATACATAAATATTTTTAACCTTTTTACTACTACTAGTAATTATGAAAAAATCTATTAGACAAACCAATTAATTAATTCACACTTGTAGATTCTCTAGAATCAAACCCAATCTAATGTATTTACTATTCCCTCTGTCTGCAGCTATCTTCCTCCAGATTGCCACTATACCTGATTCTTTCTAATCACTGATTGCAAATCAAATATTACCTCTAAAAAAAGAGGCCCTTTCTAACCTCTCAACGCACAGTAGAGTCCCACTTTCATTCATTCTCCATTATATACCCCTGTCTTCTTCATGGCACTTACCACTACATAAAGCTGCTCTGTTTATTACTTCCTCTAATAAAACATCCACTTCAAGAAGGCAGAGTGCCTTCTTCACTGAAGGCCAAGAATAATGTGAGTAACATGAGACAATCAATAATACTTACTGAATGATTAAATAGCAATGCAGTAAAAGTTCAGTTTAGTATTTGTTTTTAAACATTTGTAGCTCACTGCTCACATCATGATATAAATTGAGTACCTGCAGAAACTCAGGCCAGCTGTTACCAAGACACTATGGGATACAGCAAAGAAAGAACAGAGGTATAAGGCATTCAAAAGCATTTCTGGACTTTTACTGAACAATGATTACAGGTTTCTGAAAGAAAATTTATTCAGAATGATTTAAAGCACATTACCAGGAGTAAAATAAAGTTTCTTTTTTTTTTTTAGTATCATATGAGAGCCATTAAATTAGGAGTAATATCTACAATGGGACAGAAGTATTATCTAGACTATGGCTCACTCGCTTTTTTCCTTCTCTCTCCCCCACCCCACCCAGTCTCTAATACACATACACCATGGAAGAATTTTACATTTTCAGATAGCATTTCTTTCTGGGGAATGGGTCATGATGAATACAATGAATACCAAAAACACCTAACTAAAAATGCAAACCATTAAATTTGAGACCTGGAGAAAACTAGAGTTATCTGTCCCACACTTCTCATTTGGCAGCTGAGAGAGATCTGAAGCCCAGGGTGGTTATCAAAAAAGTCACAAACCTAATGAACAGAAAGCAAAGCTACATCTAAAATCCACATCTCCTGTCTCCAACCCTATACTCTTTCATAAGATAATGTCACTCATAGAATGCTAATATCAAGTTATAATATTCTTTACCATCATTTTTAGTAATGTCACTTCTTTTTTTTCTATTGAAATCCCAGCCACTAGAGGAAAAGTCAAAACAAGGACACATATAATTATACTCTAAGTAAAGCATGTTACAGAAACCCCTTTTTGACAAAATAATACAATAAACATCTGGAAAAAACTAATTGGTTTGATTCAATGAGGTTTTTATTCCAGTTTACATTTTAAAGTGAAAATAACTATTTAGAAATATCTGATTATTCCTTCATTTTAAACAAGTAAATTGTTGATCTCATATTAAATATCAATATAGTTATTTTTCAACTATTTGCAGAAATTGAGTACTGATGTGAAATCTGTGAAAATGAAACCTCCACTATGATGCATTCAAAACAAAATTATTTCTTACTACATCTTTCTTCAAAAACCAACTCCAGTGAAGAACTAACATGCAAGTGACCAAAAGACACCAAACATAAGGGGGAAAGTGACAGAAATATCCATACACATAAGATACAGCAACCTTGATAAACAAGAAGAGACTCTACTCTTCCTAGTTTCCCTACAATATTATTCAGACCTATTCATAAATACCCTTGCCAGTTCTTAGAATACTAGTATGAACTGTAGAGGCAAACAAATGCACAGGACAGATGTCATTTGTCCAAGGTTAAATGATAAGAGATGGACAAGAGTAAAACAAAGCAAGGCATTAACAAATAATTAAGATTCTTTTCAGAGTAAAAGGGTTTCTTTCTCATTCTACTTGTTCTGTCTCATAAACACAACTAAATGCTACTGTTTAATATGAAAAATAACATTGTTTACATTGACATGAAAATTTTTACCAAAAACATACAGTAACAAAGTATCAAAATGTAGACTTTCACTCTAGTGAAACCCTCATTTTAAAACGTCTATGTAATATCCAAATCACTTTTGAAAGCAATGACAAAAAAAAAACAGAAATGCGAAAGGAAATGGAACCTTAGTTTATCTTTTCCCCAGTCTGTGCTTTTTGGTTGAAGAGATCCCTAAAACAAGGAAATTAAACATAAAACACCAAATGAAATAAAGTTTGGATTAAGTCAGGTTCAAAAAGCGTTATGAACTATAAAATGAAATCTATGTCAGCTGGCATCTTATCACCCCAGAGAGTTCTAAATTCATCCTGCACATAAATCAAGAAACAGGAAAGCATGCAATACAATGGAGTCACCCCACAGTACAAACACCAACAAATTAAACGAACACCCTATACTTCCTGGTATTTTTTTAAATGTTAAAACTTAGACTTGAGTTAAGAACTTATCTGTAAAGATCGACTCTAACCTATTTAAGAACTATGTGACAAACCTCATTTCTGCAGCACAGAACAAATATTTCCACAACAACATTGCTACCGGCTCTGATAAATTCTGTAAAAAAAATAATAATAAATAATAATAAAAACAAAAATATCTTCTTTTTTAATGACCAGCCAACCAACACTTTACAAAATCTGACGCGTCTGTATTTCTGCTGTTCCGCGGTCTACGTTTCCTTGATCACAGAAGAAGGCAACTCCCTAACCGTCAGGACTGACTTAGCGCCCTCCAACACCCCGGGTGCGGGTTACCTTCATCACTCCATTGTCAAATCGCACTCCCACGCCTCAGTCCTCAGCCCCCGTCCTAAGACTCTAGAGAGTCAAAAAAGGGAAAGAAATCCCCTCACCCACAGTCCTTTACTGAGGAGGGTGGGTGTGTCTGGAGACGAACGCTCTGTCAAACACAATCAAATCTTCCGCGGAAACCCAGACCCTAAGCCACCACGGAGCCAGCAGTAACCGGCCGGTCGCCGACCCCAGCCTTCCGCGGCCGCAGCCCTTCCTCTTTCTCCCCTCCAGCCCGGCCCCTCCCCCGTTGCGCGCACGCGCGGCCTCCAATCGATCCCCTCCCCCCGGCCCCCCTCACCTGAATCATTAGCCACCCTCTCCCCAGGCTCTGGGAATCACTGGCCCAGGAAGGAAGACAGGAGATGTAAGCGGGGGAGAGGATGCGTCGAGAGCCAGTGATCTGCGCCTCAGATGTTGGCCTAAGAGGCCCCTACGGTCAAGAGCAGCGTCTGTCACCGCCACCAAAACTGTACCAGCGGCAGCGCCTGGTTCGGCCCAGCTGACCCGGCTTGGGTTCAGAATGCCTAATTTGGTCCCACAGAAACTCGTTCCCCGAAACTGCGGGCGTTTCTATGCTGCGCAGACCGAACACCTCGCCACCGTCGCCGCCACTGCTGCTGCTCTCCAGTCGCCGCCGCCTAACCAATCCCTCCTCTACCGAGGAAGCACGACACTCAAGGCTTTACGACAGTTCGCAAAGTGAGAGCGCAGTAGCCTTCAAGCCTCCATTAACATGTTTGTTTCTGCGCTTGCTCAGATGCCCGTTTCTCACCGTCCGGCCCCCTCTTCCCTGGCCCTCCCCCTTTGTACTCGCCTTATCAGTTTGTAGCCGAAACCTAGCAATGTCATAAAGCTCATTTTATGTTCATTTGTGAAATGCGTTCAATATTAAACAATATACTGACTACATCTTGGTTCATTTTTTTCATAACCGAAAGCTACAACCACAGAATTATTAACTATACTTAAGGCAACGAACAAAAACGTCATGGTTTAGTCTTTCACAGCAAATAGTACTCACATCATCCTTACCAATGCGTTCATCACCGTTGAGGTGAATTTGCTTTCAGAATCAGATAAAAAATGGTAATAGATATCCTGGGAACTAACTGTACAATCGTATACGTTTTCTTATTTTATAAAAATCAGGAGACAACAGACGCTTCATTACATGCATTAATAGGCTGTAGGCAAAACGGATGTAGGCATTGGAATCAGTAAAACTTCCTTTCAAATTCCAGTGAGTGAACTTATAGGTTAGGGGAGGGGGTTCGGAGTAGGGATAGATGGGGCGTTTGGGGCTGACCTGTACACACCACTATGTGTAAAATGGATAACCAACAGGAACCTACTGAATAGCATTGAGAACTCTACTCAATATTCTGTAATAACCTAAATGGAACAAGAATCTTTCCGTTCAGTTCAGTCACGTCCAACCCTGTGACCCCATGGACTGCAGCATGCCAGGCTTCCCTGCCCATCACCAACTCCCGGAGCTTGCTCAAACTCATGTCCATCAAGTCGGTGATACCATCCAACCATCTCATCCTCTGTCATCCCCGTCTCCCCCTGCCTTCAATCGTTCCCAGCATCAGGGTCTTTTCCAATGAGTCAGTTCTTCACATCAGGTGGCCAAAGTATTGCAGTTTCAGCTTCAGCATCAGTCCTTCCAATGAATATTCAAAGACTGATTTCTTTTAGGATTGACTGGTTTGATCTCCATGCAGTCCAAGGAACTCTCAAGAGTCTTCTCCAACACTACAGTTCAAAAGCATCAATTATTCGCGCTCAGCTTTCTTTATGGTCCAACTCTCACATCCATACATGAGTATTAGAAAAACCATAGCTTTGACTAGATGGACCTTTGTTGGCAAAGTAATGTCTCTGCTTTTAAATATGCTGTCTAGGTTGCTCAAAGCTTTTCTTCCAAGGAGCAATTTAATTTCATGGCTGCAGTTACCATCTTCAGTGATTTTTAAAAATAAAAAAAAAAATTTTCAGTGATGAAAATACCAGGTGTCTAATTGATTTGAGCTTTGTAAATCTGTTTCCAAAAAGAAAGGAAGGCAGGGGAGAAAAGAAAGAAAATGTCAATTATACCTCAAGTTTTAAAAATCAAAAGCAGGTTAAAAATTTTTAACCACATTAGTAACTCATGTGATACTTTGTTGCACAGTGCTAACTGGGATCCAGACTCATATGGCTGTTTACTGGTTGGTACCACAGGCATTTCTAATGCATCTTGACCAAAATAAATAAATGAATGTACATAAATAGTGTTTAAATCTCATCCATCTCAGGTTTCACTGTCTCTTTCAATAGGACCAAGTCATCTAACGAGGAACATAATGGTCATCTTTGATGACTCTCTGTTCCTCACTCCCTACCTCTAATCAAGCAGTAAGTACTTCCAATTCTGCCAATGAAACATTTCAAATGTTGCAAATCCACTCATTCTCTCTGTACTCTGTACCAGTTCAGGTCTTTCCTATATTTGGTACTATTCATTTGTTTAACAAACATTTATCAAGTACTTACTATGTGCTAGACATTGTGCTGAGCATTGTGAGTACCAGATACATGACCACTGTTTTACTTGAAGTATTTAAGAAGACCCAGAAAGCAAGCCCACTATTTACAATATAATGTGGAAGGTATAGGATGGCATACTCATGCTCTGAGAACACAAAGATAGAATACTGTAGTCAAACCAAGAGAAGGTAACATTTAAATTTTGCAACATAAATACAACAGTTACATAAAGCAAACAGGGCATTGTCCACAGAAAGATTAGCAATGCTAAGCTACAGAATCCTCTAGTTGAAACATCATGAAACAAATTCTCTACTAAGATCTACTGAATGTATCCTGCAAGGAAAGTCTCAGGAGATAAGGGAAGCAAATTAGACAGAAATGTATTAAGTAAGAGTTTTTCCTAGGAAAAGGAATTTTAACTATTTTATATTTAAAACTATGAGATGCTATTAAAGGACATCAATCAGAGGAAAGATAATCAGATTTGACTCTTAGAGACACCATTATATAAGGTGAGTAGAGGATAGACTGGAGAAGAGGAGCAAGAGGAGACAAGAGGAGAGGAGCAAAGACTGGACAAGAGGAGAGGGGCAAAGACCAGTTGGAATTGCAGGTAAAAAGGGGTGAGGGTAGTAGAAATGAACAGGAAGGGAGAGAAACAAAAAATAAGAAGAATAAATAACTACGTGATTATAGGAGGTGAAGGAGGAGAATCTCAGAGACTTCCAGATTTATGGTGAATTGTTGGGTGGTGGCACCATTCAAGAAAGAGACACAGGCTTGAAAAACCCAACTTTGGGGGTCTGGAACTTTCAACTGGTTAGGATGAGGGAGGAGGTTGAGAGAAAGAAAATTATTACTTCTTATATTGGGCAAGTTGAGTTTACCCAGAGTGGAGATTCCAATAAGATGTTGAAGTTACATGTTTGAAGCTTAGGAGAGAGGTCTAGGCTGAAGACAGAGATTTGGACTCATTAACTTATACTGTGATAGTCAAAAGAATAGTTCCAATGAGGTCACACAGAGTATAAGTGAGATGAGACAGATACCTGGGGAAGTCTGATGTTTTAAAAGTTTGAAGAATGAAAAAGATTCCCACAAGGCTATGCATGGGCCAGAAAAAAAGGGATCAACATGTAACAAACAGGACCAATGAGGAAAAAAATTTCAATAAAGAAGTGAATGGTGAGGGATATGAAATGTCTGTTAGTTTCACAGTATGGAGTTCAGTAAGTAGGAGCAGTTTCAGCAACTCATCTACATTTTAGAACAGAGGTTTTCAACTGGGGTTGGTTTTGACAACCAGGGATTATTTGATAGTATATGGAGATATTTTTGGTTATCACAACTAGGTAGATGTTACTGACATCTAGTGGTTTAAAACAAGGAATGCTGCTAAATACACAGCACAGCCTCTCACAGCAAAGAATTATCTAAACCAAATGCTAATAATATTCCAACTTAGAAGTCCTGGTTTAGAAAGGACTAAATGGGGTAGTTATACAAGAATCAGTACTTTTTAATGAAATTTGTAGTAAATGTAAAAAGAAAGATAGATACATATCTAGCAGAATATGGAATTTAAAAAGGGGAGACTTGAATCACGTTGGTAATTGAAGGGACAGGAGAAATGAAAAAGGTGAATGGAAATAAAACAAATGCTCAGTGGAGGCAGAAGAACAGAAATTCAAAGCTCAGATGGGAGAATTAGCCTTGGATAAGAGAAGGGATATTCCTTTCACTGAAACAGGTAGGGAGGGGGAAGAAGTGACTGTATAAATGAATTAAGTTTGTTAGAGTCAGGGAACAAGTTGAGGACTCGCTCAAAGAATGGACTTGATATCTCTGCAAAACATGAGGTAAGGCCATCTACTAAGACATCAGATTCAGAAGTTGCTGAGTGGAGAGTAATTAGAAGAGAGAGATTTAAAATAACTCAGAATAGTCAATAACATGATGACAGGGCAGACAATAGAGGCAACAGATCAAAGGCAGGAAGCCCAGAGCAGAAAAGGGGTGAGACTGACAGGAAGGACAGGTGCCAGGGGTTGTATTGAAGGGAATAGTGCCAGATTATACCCACTTCAGTACTCTGGCCTAGAGAATTCCATGAACTGTACAGTCAATGGGGTTGCAAAGAGTTGGACACGACTGAGCGATTTTCACATAGAGGTGGGAAATATCTCTCATCTGAATTACACACAATAGTTTCCTGGTTTCTATGGGTCTACTCTTGCCAGCATCGCCTCCACCTTCAACCACTATCAGAGTGGCAGAAACTGAGACACTAAGTTAAAATTCTTTAATAACCCTCCATCAGCTTCAAGATAAGATCCAAAATCCTTAACTTGGCAAATAAAGCTCTTCCAAATCCAGATTCTCCAGGGTCACTTCACACCACCTTGTTCTATGACCCTACTCCCAGTCCCCGCTTAGACTTCAGCAGACTTCTCAAACTCCTTGCATTCTGTAGGAAAAGTATAGTTCTGATATCTTCCTGCCTTTGCACCTACTCTCCATTCTTTCAAAATATTCTCACCCTCTCCCCGACCCCACCCCCACTTTCATCTTATACAATGTTCTGTCTTTAGCAGAAAAATATCACTTAAAATATTTATTGAACTTACTGAATAAGAAGATTGGAGTTCTACAGACCTGTGGTTGCTAAGGAGGAGAGGGTTTGGGGGAGGGCTAAAACGGGAATTTGGGATTAGCAGATGCAAACCATTGTGTACAGACTGGATAAACAACAAGGTCCTCCTACAGCACAGGGAAGTAGAGTCAATACCCTGTGATAAACTATAATGGAAAAGAATATGGAAAAATATGTGTATATATGTATAAGTGAGTCACTTTGATGTACAGTAGAAACTAACACAATGTTGTAAATAAACTACACTTCAATAAAACATTTTTTATACTTCAATAAAAATTTTTTTAAAAAAGAAGATTGGGGTCCTAGTCTCAATTTCACACTAAGAAAACAGAAATCTTCAGTCTTAAATCTTTGAACTCTTCCAAAAATTAACTTTACTTTCTGTGGAAAGATTAGGGCTAGCCAACATGTATATTTCAAACCAAATTCTGTCTGCCAGGAACTGCAGCAAAATAATGTTTACCAAATTAGCCTGCACACATGGGCCAGTGGTGCCTAACTATCTAGCAGATAAGAAATTGAGGAGCTGGTTCTAAACATGGAAATACTGAGCTGTGCTAATGGATCAGCTGCAATAAATGGGGGAAAAAAGGAATTTTCTCCAAATTATTGAAGTCAGAGGGAAAGGCTGGTATGCCCACCATCCATTGCATAAATACTTCATAACTGTACAAAGTTTGAAAGTGAGAGTATGCTCATGTGGTCAGCTTTGTGAGCTCTTTAAAAAAAAATGAAGCAAAGATTGGAGGTTTAATGCAATGAGATACGGGGTTGGGGGAACTTGTTGAAATATTTACTAAAATATTTCCTCAGATAAAAAGCTTTGGGAAGAATTAAAAGGATCTAAGAGATGCACTCCTCAGAACACTTACTGATTCACAACATTCTACTTTCTTGTTGCTGTACCAAGGTATCACTGGAATCTGAAACTAAAAAGAAAATTTTATAAACTCCACAGCACTGCTGATTTAGTTAAGGCAATGCAGGTCCTCATTAAAATTCTATTATATATAACTTGATTTCAGACTATAAGGTTGCAAACAGATTGCGTTTAGTTTGAAGATTACAATCTTTATTATACATACACAGAGAGACAGAGACAGAAAAATAGAAACAGAAGGTAAGGAGTCATTAGGCACTCCACTTATTTCCTACTACTAAACTCTTCTGAAGTCAGTATAGTCAATTTTGAAAAATAGGGGAGCTCTTTAGTGGAATGATAACTTCAAAACATAGGATAATCTTTATGAGTATTATCATTTTTTAAAGTTTCTCTGATTGTCTTTGGAATGAAACCTTCAAGATATATTTGAATTGGTCAAATACTAATATTATCTGTGTGGCTCAGTTATTGAAAAACAGAAACAAATTATGGACTAACAAGGAGACTCAATATGCCTGGAGTTTTGTAGACAAGCATTTGAAACTTAAAGTATCCTGAAATATTTCAGGCTATCTGGCCAAATTCTGGGTATATTTAAGGCCACTTGGTTCTGTGAAAGTATATTTTTATGTATGTATATATTTTAAAAGTGTCATTATTTATTTATTTATTTTTACATTTTTAAGGTTTCCTCTTCATATTCATTTTATTTATTTTAATATTTTGGCCAAACCATGCGGCATGTGGGATCTTAGTTCCCCCACCAGGGATCAAACCCATACCCCCTGCCTTGGCAGCTTGGAGTCCTAACCACTGCGCCACTGGGGAAGTCCTAAAAGTAAATATTTTTAAATAAAACTATAGAAAAATAAAAGAGAAAGTCACCGTTCACCCACAGTTACATAAGCCTAGCATCACTCTGAGGTTTCCAGACTGACTGACAATTGTTCTCAGAGTAGCTTAGTCTTCTCATTACTAATATTTTTTATATTTTTTGTCAAAATTGGTCACACGCTTACCCGTGAACTTTTAAAGTAAGTTGTTTTAACTCTTAGCATATTTTTCCAATGCTGTTAAAAACCATAATTTTTAAAGAGCTCACTTCTGTAAGTAATAAACAAAACAAGTTTGTGATCATTAAATAGACATACTCTCCAAAGTTCCTTAAACCTCTAACATTTCATGGTTTGCTTCAGACCTAATAAGATTTATGTGAACATTGAATATTACAATTTCAAGAGTGATTTACAGACTGGTAAATTATTTGCAAATTCTGAACAGGAAGTAAAAATGTTTCTCTGTACTTGCTTGCTATTTATAGATTATGTAAAGTTTTCCAAAAGCACTCAATGTTTCCCTAAACCGTATTAGTATTTACTTAACTGCCTAACATGTATCTTGACTATTATTTTTGATTATAGGATTGTTAACAGACATTTTGCTTTGTTTACTCTACAGATTGTACAAATATATCAGTACATTTAAAATACTGATATATTGGGGGAATATTCAGAAAGAGGGATAGAGAAGAAAAGAGAATGAAATGAATCTGTCCATGCAATAAGAGGACTTTTTTTTTTTTTTTTTAGTTCTACCACTTTATTGCTATCAACCCATCTCCCTCCACCCTTGTGCACACATGCTCAGTCATGTAACTCCATGGACTGCAGCCCGCCAGGATCCTCTGTCCGTGGACTTTTCCAGGCAAGAATACTGGAGTGGAATAAGAGAATATTTATAAAATATTTAACAGCTTGAATCTGAATGTCTTTAGTACTCAGGACTTCTGGTAAGATTTTGATTATTTTTAACTTTTGATAGAGCATAAGTCACTATTAACACTACTGTTCTAGAAATTTAGAAATGTTGGAGATTTTAGTTTTAGATTTTTTTTCAGATTTTTACTTTGAAATTTAACTCAAACATTTTAAGTTGTGAAAATATAAATTGGTCAGAATTGACAACCCAATTCTGAAAACATTTATTTGGATTGTAAGGATAAATAAAATCTTTCTACCCTGAACTGAAATTCAAACACTAATTTAGGATTGAGTTAAACTAGGAAAGAGTGCCACCTACTGAATCAAAATTACTTAAACACCTCAACATTAAGTTCATTCTCAGAACCTCTAAAGTTCTAGCATCAGAGATGTATATTTTAGATAATTTTCATACAGAAAATACCCTCTGAAAAGTTATTTAACAAAATATTTCTTCCTAGTAGAAGAATAACAGACCAGTCATGTGTGTTTATCATGCCCAATATCAACTGACAAATGGCAAAGGAATCAAAATGGTACAAACCCAAAACAACAAGAGTGGGAGCAGGTCATCACCAAGCAAATTATTCCACCAAATATCTGGAAGACAGAAATCAGATAGAGAGCTGTTAACTGTTGAGCAGAGTGAAGAAAAATCTACACCACGAAATACTACCAGAGGGGCTGCACTAATTAGGGAGCTGGTGCACCTTGCAGAGACTAAGGACTCAGGCCAAAGACAAGAGAGGCCAAGAAAAAAAAAATGCAGAAATGAAAAATAAAGAAATTAAGTCTATATGTGGCAAGATCAAAACTCTCTATGCCTCTCTTCAGCACACAAAGAATGTACAGCGTGACTTCCCCAGTGGTCCAGTGGCTAAGAGGTCTTCCCTGGTGGCTCAGTGGTAAAGAATCCACCTGCAATGCAAGAGCTATAGGAGACACAGGTTCGATCCCTGGGTGGGGAAGATGGCCTGGAGGAGGGCATAGAAACACACTCCAGTATTCTTGACTGGAGAATCCTATGGATAGAGGACCTTGATGGACTACAGTCGATACAGTCCCAAAGAGTTGGACATGACTGAAATAATTTAGCAGGCAGGCAGGCCAATGGCTAAGACACCTTACTCCCTATGCAGGGGCCTGGGTTCAATCCCTGATTAGGGAACTAGATCCCACATGACATAATTAAAAGATACCTTGCCTAGCCAAATAAATACTAACACAATATATTTTAAAAAATAGAATGCATAGTATCTAGGTTTTGAAGTCCTAGGCTAAAAACAAGGGCAGGGAGTTCTGAAAGAAAAAAAAGAAAAAGCAGATTGAATTAGTTAAGTAGTTGGTGTGATAGCTTACACTAACTACTTCACTTTAAATACTAATAAGTCCACCTGCCAATACCTGCCTGGCAGTAGACATCATCCTTTTACACATTAAAGTTTTTATACTATATAATTTTAAAACATTTCATTTTTATACTACATAATTTTAAAATATTTATTGAAAACCAAGATATGCTAGGTATTTGAGGAAAACCTGTAACGCAAAAGAGATCAAGTTAAACATTAAGAAAAACTGCAGAGATAGAGATAATTTAACACAGAGAGAGGGAAAATATTTTAACCCTCCTGCTAATATCCTCAGATATTTTTTAAAAGTGACACTGCATCCTTTATAACAAAAAAAGGATGCGATGATAAAAGTAAGAAAGAATGGTTGGAAACTAAAATGATGATTTCTAAAATTAAAATTCAATAGAAAGTTTGAGAGATAAAAGGAAGAAAATGTTCCAGGATATAAGGCAAAAAAGGAAAGAAATATGAGCGAAAAGGTAGGAGTTATAGAGGACCATTCTTGGAGGTAAAATATCTTTCAGAAGTTCCACAAAGGAAGAACAAAGAATACGGAGAGAAGAAATTATGAAAGAAGTAATAAGACACTTCCCAAACCAAAGATTTCTGAAGTTCTAACATTGTTTATTCACTCATCTCTCCAGAGTCACTGAGATTGTTACTATCTTTTGGCTACTGTGAATAATGATGTTATAAGCATAGATGTAGGGCTCCCCTGGTGGCTCAGAGGATAAAGCATCTGCCTGCAATGCAGGAGACCAGGGTTCGATCCCTAGGTTGGGAAGATCCCCTGGAGAAGGAAATGGCGGCCTACTCCAGTATTCTGGCCTGAAGAATCCCATGGACAGAGGAGCCTGGTGGGCTACAGTCCATGGGGTCGCAAAGAGTCGGACACGACTGAGCAACTTCACACACACACAAGCATAGACGTACGTACAAGTCTCTGTTTTGAGTTCCTGTTTTTAATTATTTTTGATGTATACATATGAATGTAAATGCTGGGTCATACTGTCACTCTATGCTTAGCTTTTCAAGGGTTCTAATATCTCCATATCCTGGCCAACACGTTATTGTTGGTCTTCTTTACTAGTAGGTCATCTAGTAGTCTTCCTAGTAGGTATAAAATGGCATCTTCTTGCAGCCTCACTGTTTTATTCTCTTACTAGTTACTTTAAAAGTTCCTTAACAAAACCATTCTTACTTTTATTATCCTCCTAAGGAAGAATTTATGAACAGTGTAACAGCATTTACCACATACATCCCCCAACATGCACATACATCCTTTGCGATATTTTCATCATTTAGTATTGTAATTCTGTATAATTTAAATGCCACACTGTTCTTTCTTCACACCTGCTACTTTCACTGTCAGTGTGATTTAGATTTATTCTCATAATTATAATTTTCATTGGTCTCCATCACTTTCTGCATCTATTCTTTCACGCAAGAGGGTTTTCTTTCTGCATGATGAATGATTTAGAGAATATTCTTTAATGCTTATCTCCTGTTGGAATAACTTTAATTTCCTCAAAAAATATAATTTATTTTAATATCATCTAAAAATATATTAATTTTACCTTCTTTATTGAAGTATATCTAGAAGAAGGAGCCTGGTGGGCTGCAGTCCATGGGGTCGCTGAGAGTCGGACACGACTGAGCAACTTCACTTTCACTTTTCACTTTCATGCATTGGAGAAGGAAATGGCAACCCACTCCAGTGTTCTTGCCTGGAGAATCCCAGGGACAGGGGAGCCTGGTGGGCTATTGTCTATGGGGTTGCAAAGAGTCGGACACGACTGAAGTGACTTAGCAGCAGCAGAAGTATAGTTATTTTCTCAAGGGACCTTGGAGATAACATTTCATTGTTTTCTGAAGTTCTTGTCATTGAAATGTCAGTGCTGGGTTTAAGTGCAGTTTCTTCAGAGTTAATGTCTTTTTTTTTTTTTTTTTTTTGATGAGAGATATCAGATACAGTGAGGGAACTTAACAAGAAAAATTGAAGTCCCAAAAAAAAAAAAGAGAAAGAAGGGATTTGAGACAATATTTTGAAGAGATGGTCATTAAGAGTCTGCTAATTTAAGAAGTCCTACAATGCCCAAGCAAAATAAATCCTCAACTAAACACATCTTATAAAAATGAAACTTCAGTAAATCAAGACAGGGATAAAAAAATTAAACAAAAACAAAAAACCCAAAATGATAGCATAATACACATTCTTGTTGAGTGTACATGGTACATTTGCCAAGCTATATCAGTTATACTCTGTGACATAAAACAAGTCAGTAAATTCAGAAAGATTAAATTCATACAAAACATCCTCTCAACAAAGTATTCTAAAATTCAGTAACAGAAAGATATTTGAAAAAAAACTCCCCAAATAATTAAAAGTTAAACACAACACATAAATAACCAATGGATCAAAGGTCACAAAAGAAAAAGTCTAATGTTATGGATTGAATGAAAATAGAACCACAATTATTCAAAAGTTATGGGATGCCATTAAAGCTATGTTTTCAAGGAAAGTCATAGCATCAAATGTTTATATTAGAACAGAAAAACTTTAATATCAATGACCTATTCTTCCATCTTAATAAATTACAAGAGCAACTTAAACTGAAAGCAAGCAGAAATAAGGAAATAAAATTTAAAAAATAACAGTGAGGCATGTGGGCACCAGCTAGAGGACTGTGGGGCTGCCACAGGGCCACAGAGGCTACACAGCAGCTGGTCTGGAGGCGCCCATGGCTCCTTTGTTTCCCGTGGTACAAGAACTTGTTTAAGAAATTTTCCTCAAAAACCATTAAGCCCATGTCACTTTAGACTCCTCTAGACTATGGCAGTTTCTCAAGTTTTCCTTGTTTTTGATGACTTTGACAATTTGAAGGGTTCAGTTCTGTTCAGATGCTCAGTCGTGTCCGACTCTTTGCAACCCCGTGGACTGCAGCACGCCAGGCTTCCTGGTCCATCACCAACTCCCGGAGCTTGCTCAAATTCATGTCCATCAAGTCGGTGATGCCATCCAACCATCTCATCCTCTGTTGTCCCTTTCTCCTCCTGCTTTCGATCTTTCCCACCATCAGGGTCTTTTCTGATGAGTCAGCTCTTCACATCAGGTGGCCAAAACCTTGGAGTTTCAGAGTCAGCATCAGTCCTTCCAATGAATATTCAGGACTGATTTCCTTTAGGATTGATGGGTTTGATCTCCTTGCAATCCAAGGGACTCTCAAGAGTCTTCTCCAACACCACAGTTCATCGATGCTCATCTTTATACTTTGAAGAGTATTGGTTAGAAAAATGTTTTGGTATGAAGGTCTTTCCTTGGGATCTCTACTTCCAAGTCATCCACGTTGGAATTACTAATGAAGAACACTTCAAAGAAAACCAAGGAGGAGGATCATGAGCACTAAAGGCCCAGGATGGCCTTCTTTATAAAACACTGACAGAGTCTCTGGACACTTCTGATGTGAGCCAAGAGATCTGTAACCTGAATGTGGGGTATCCAAAGTCTCTCCAACTTTAGACCTTTCAGCCTGCTGTGTGTATTGGAAGACAACTCTTCTTGTTGAACAGAATGAGCACAGGATTTCACCATCTTACAGAAAAATCACTGTCCATGTGAGGCACCATTTGATGTCTCAGTAGACCCTGAGGATTGTGTTGCCTATAGTGTTTGCTTGAGACAAAATGCAGCTCCAGCTGAGACTGATTAGTTACTGACAGTTGCTGATTGTGAACCCCAGATGAAAAAGACTACATACAAAATGACTTAAGGGAACCTACAGCCTCCTCTAATATCATGAAATCTGCTGTGCACTCAAATCTGTGTGGACTCAATCAGGAGGCACTCAAAAAGCAAATAATTCAAAAGGAAGACAAAAGTGCTTGGGGATCAAGAAAGGCTTTAGAGGTTTGAGCCCAGTATGACCAAAACAAAAGGAGAAACGACTGGTTGAGTTGACAAAGTGATAGAAAAAGAAAACAACCCCCTCATGGTTGATGACATCTCTCCTAAAGAGGATCTGCTGCATGGGAATGAGTATAAATGATCTAGATTTTGCTAGTGCATTTTTGGAGGAGCACACACTGGAATATGAATGTGAACTGCTAGAAGATAAATTAGAGGCAGAGAGAAGAGGTGACAAAAAGGAACCAAGTTAACTTGTTACAGAACGTGAACTAGTAATTCTGTGAGACATTAGCTCTGCTGATAAACTTCTTTTGTGAAGTTAAACTGATGTAGAACAACAGTTGTCATAAAAATCTCTACTATGTTAGACCTACCATATGATCCTGCAATCCCAATTCTGGGCTTATATCCAGAGAAAACCATAATTCAAAAAGATGCATGCACCCCAATGGTAATGATGGCACTATGTAAAATAGCCAAGGCATGGACAAGCAACCTAAATGTCCATCAACAGGAGAATGGATAAAGAAGATGTGGTGCAAATATAAATGGAATATTACTCAGCCATTTAAAACAATGAATTAATGCCATTTGCAGCAACATGATGGACCTAGAGATCATCATACAAGTGAAGTAAGCCAGACAGAGAAAGACAAATACCAGATGATATCACTTATATGTAGAATCTTTAAAAAAATGATACAAATGATCTTTTATACAAAATAGAAATAGACTCACAGACATAGAAAAGAAATCTGTGGTTACCAGTGGGGAAAGGGGAAGGGGGAATAAATGAGTAGGAGCTTGAGATTAACAAATATATACTACCATATATAAAGTAGATAAACAATAAGGACTTACTGTATAGCACAGGAAACTATACTTGATATTCTGTACTAACTTACAAGGGAAAACAATCTGAAAAAGAATATATATGTATATATAACTGAATCACTTTGATGTACACCTGAAACCAAACACAACATTATACATCAGTTATATTTCAATTTTTAAAAAGTCTGCACTATGTTTTATGTCTATATACTATGTTATTATGTTTACACATATTATGAACTCTACTATGGAAAACAAATTTTAAAAATTTTCCAGATAGAAAAAAAAATAAGAGCAGAAATCAATGAAATAGAAAATAAAAACAAAAGAAAAAAGTGAGTGAAATCTAAAGCTAGTTCTTTGAGAATGTCAGTAATACAGATAAACCAGTAACCAGGTTGTTTATGATTAATATAAATAAGAGAGAAGAAATAAATTGTGAATAACAAGAATGAGAGAGAGGACATCACATTAGCGCCACACATTGACTTCATTGTTTTAGAACTTCCCTAAAGAAAACATGAGGTCCAGATGGCTTCACTGGTGAATTCTACAAAACACTTGAGGAAGAAATAATACCAGTTCTATACACAAACTCTTGTAGAAAATAGATGACTGAGTGTTACAGCTGTTTTGGAATTTGTCTAGCAGGTTTTCCGGTTCACACCAGAAAGCCAGAAAAAAAAGAAAACAGGTGATTGAATGTAACTCAACTCATTCTATGGGGCCAGTATTGCCCTAAATCAATGCCAAACATATTATAAGGAAATTTAGAACAATATTCCTAATGAACATAGGTGCAAAAATCCTTAACAAAATTTTAGTAAATCAAATTTGGTGATATATAAACATGGAGATTATATCATGGTTTAATCACAAGAATGCATGGTTTATGTAATAATACAAAAATCAGTCAATGTAATTCACCATATTTTCACACTATGAAAGAAAAACTAGATGATTATTTCATATGATCCAGGAAAAAAAATCGACAAAATTCAATATCCATTCATGGTAACTCATAGCAAATGAAAAATGGTTGGGGGGAACCTTCCTCAATCCAGAAAAAAAAATCTATAAAACACCTACAGCTAATATCATCCTTAATAGTGAAACACTAGTGTGTTCCCCCCTAAAATAACGAACAAAGAAAGTCCCTATCATAGGCTGAATTTTCCTCTGCCTTTGCAATGAGCCCATAATTCCCTTCTGTCTCAGTGAAATTATGTTTATATCCCCTACTAGAGCATTTATTACATTTAATTAATCCATTTACCCTCTAACTGTACTGTGACCTTCTAAGGCTAAGTCCTTTGTTTTACTCAGTTTTATATAAATATTTTTGAATAATTCAATTAAGAGTTGTAAAGGGGGGCTTCCCTGGTGGTCCAGTGGTTGGGAATCCACCCTGCAATGCAGAGGAGACCAGTGTGATCTCTGGTTGGGGAGGATCCCACATGCTGCGGGGCAATGAGCCTGTGCGGGGCAACTACTGAAGCTGGCACAGCCAGAGCTCCACAATGAGAGAAACAACCCCAGTGAGAAGCCCGCACACCGCGACTAGAGAGCAGCCCCTGCCCTCTGAAACTAGAAAAAGCCCGAGCAGCAACGAAGACTCAGCACAGTCAAAAATAAACTGAAAAAAAAAAGAGTTGTAAAGGATCGTAAGGATCATCTAGTTCAGTCATCTTATTTTCCACCAGAGTAAAGTAAACCCTACAGAGATCAGATAGCTTTCCAACATTCCAGAACAATTGAGTTAGTAGCAATAATCTATTTTGTTTTTTCACCTAAGAGGTACCACCTCCTCAAACTGATCATTAAGTAAAGTCAACTTCATTCACATTATAAATGAGATAATTATGGTTAAGAAAGTTTAAATTACTTGACCATAGTCAATATTAAGTGTTAAACAGTACACAAAGACAAGATGATTCACATTAAAAATATTCTCCACTGCTTCACCTTTGGTTTATGCAACAAAACCTGTCTTAACAATGAGACAATGATGCAATCTAAAATTTTGAAACTGAATTTTCAATGTGAAATACACAGTAATTCCTTGCCATAAGTGCCAGTTAATTTTTTTTTTAATAATTATTTTATTTTTGGCTGTCCTGGGTCGTCGTTGCTGCACGGACTTTCTCTAAATAGTGTGAGCAGGGGCTCCTCTCCAGTTTTGGTGTCCAGGAGTCTCACTGTGTCTGTCCTGTTGTGGCACACGGGCTCTAGGGCTCACAGGCTTCAGTAGCAGCAGCACATGGACTCAGCAGTTGCGGCGTGTGGGCTCCAGGGCAGAGTGCTCAATAGTTTGAGCACAGGGGCTTAGTTGCTCCGTGACATGGGGGATCTTCCCAGGTCAGGGATTGAATCTGTGTCTCCTGCACTGGCAGACAGATTCATTATCACTGAGCCACCAGGGAAGCCATCAGTGCCACTTTAAATGAACCATATTTTATTACATTTACTTACATGTTTAAACATTCCCAGTCCTATTCTCTTACAGTATTTGCAAGAGTTTACATGAACACATGTAATATCAGCATAGAAACCTAAATAGAATAAGACTGTAGAAAACCAATGAGAAATAAATGAGGATAGGAAAATTTGCCCAGAGATAGTTGTGATACAGAAATACATACCATAGAATATTGGACAAATTCTAGACAAGAGCCACAAATCTAGCTTAGATTCCTTTCAGTCAAAGGCAATAGGGAAATGCAATCAGCTACAAGATTCACAAGGATCAACAAGGTAATATATCTCAGAAGAGTCAGGAATCTTCCTTATGTTGAGACTAGAAACAAATATTATCATTAAAAGATAATATTAAAGGAACACTGTGTGATGGTAAACAGCTTTCTTAATAACATACCTGTAATGATTATCATGGTGAATTTCATGAATAGAAAGAAGCTGAGGAGATCTACACCACAGTGAAATCCTTCCCTAACTCCTTAAAAAATTATTGTAATAAGCCTTGGAATTAGGTAATGTGAGTACCCAGATTTGTTCCCTTTGAAAAACTGTTTTACTATTCAAGGTCCTTTGCATTTCCATATAAATTTGAGAATCAGTGTTCCAATTTCTATCCAAAAAGCATGGGATTTTAGTTGAAACTGGGTTGACTCTATGGATTAATTTGGTGTAAAGGATCTTATTATGATAAGGTTACAATAATCAAGACAATGTGGCATTCTTTTAAGGATAGACACATAGCTCAATGGAACACCCAGAGAGTACAGCAATAGTTCAAAACATATATGTTCAGTGGGTTTTCCACAATGTGCCAAGGTCATTCAATGGGGCCATTCATGTAATAAAATGATTTTTTACTGTTATTTCACACCATATACAAAAATTAACTTAAAATGGATCAGAAGCTTAAAAATGAAAACTATAGTACCTTCAGAAGAAAACATCAGATAAAAATCTTGGCGTCCTTGGGTACACTACACAACTATTTTTAGACATGATGTAAAAAGCATTAATCATGAAAGGAATGATAGACTGGTCCTCAAAGCTTAAAAGTCCTGTTCTTTGGGGAAAAAATATGGTACAAGCTAGTGAATAAGAGAAAATATTTGAAAGTCATATATCTAAAAGAGGACTTTTATGAATACTACTTGGATGTCTCAGAAATTGCTAACAGGACTACAAAATGGTATAGCCACACTATAAAAGTGTGGCAGTTTATTAAAAATTGAAACATACATACCACATAACTTTTTCTTCTCTACTTTTGGAAGTTCTTTCAAATTAGAGATATTAACTGTTTGTTTTTGACACAGCATTCACATGCCTACACCTTTGTCTGAGGGAAATGACTTGAGCCCACACGCAAATTTTTACACAAGTGTAAAATGCAGCTAATTCGTGATAGTGAAAGGCCAAAATTAACCAAAGTCTTTTTAAAATTAACCAAAGTCTTTTTTTTCAATAAGTGAGTTAGTAACAAACTCTGGTACCTCCATGCTATGGAATACTAAACAATATAAATAAAAATAAAAATTATTAGTACATGTAACACCTTTAATCTCAAGGGACTTACGCTGAGTGAAAAAAAAAGATCATTTCAGTGATCCCATTTCTGTAACATTCTTCAAATAAATTATAAAAAGGAAGAATAGATAAGTGGCTGCCAGGGATTAAGGTTGATGGGGGTGGGGGAGAGGAGTAGCTGTGCTACTAAAGTAGTAGCACAAGGGAGATGTTTGTAGTGATGGAACAGTTCTGTATCTTGATTGTAGCGGTGGTTGCATGAACCTGTGTGTGACAAAATGCCAAGAATTATACACATGCATCATAACAATATAAATTTCCTGATTCTGATACTGTGTTACAGTTGCATACGATGCAACCATTTGGAGAAACTGGACGAAGGGTATGTGGGAACCCTGTACCAATTCTGACTCTCTCAATAGTATCTTCTGATGAGCAAAATTCTTAATTTTAGTGTAGTCAAATATATCAATCTTTTCTTTTGTAGCTAGTCTTTTTGTGTCATTATAAATATTTTTTTTTCTTAATCTAAGGTCATAATAATATTCTTCTAATAGCATCTTTGAGGAGAGACAGATCTGAGCACTAACCCTCAGATCAAGCCTGCCTGTTTTGAGTTGGGATATCAGTCTTCTGCATGTGAACTTGGATTTATACCGCTGGCTCCACTGGTTCTCAGGCTTTTAATTATGTCATTGGCTTTCCTGGGTGTAAAGTCAAGATGTCTTCTTGATCTATAGATCTAGGAAGTTCAACAAAGACCAAGTAGGATATATTTCTAAAAAACATATATGAAGACATATGTCCAGATTGCCGATACCAGATCTTGAGACTTCTCAGCCTCCATAATTGTATAAGCCAAGTGTGCATACACACACACACACACACACACACACACGCACACTGGATAATGGTTCTGTTTCTCTGGAGAACCCTGACATACATCCAAATTTAAGAGTGATTACATTAACTATTACTGTATTAAATTCTTCAGGTAAAAGAAATGATTGTCAGCCTAGATTAAATAAACAAAGCCAACTGTATGTTAGTTAGAAAAGCACATTTAAGAAACACACAATAAAGACTGAAGGCAAAACTTTGTAAACACTAGCCAAGAGACACCTAGTACAGTATTAAAGGGGAAAAAAATCCACTAAAGATAAAAGGCTTACTTAATAATGATTGAGATTTAACAACTGTACTTTTGTATGCACCAAAAACAAAGCTTTAAAATATATAAAGTAATCTTTGACAGCTCTACAATCAACAAATCCACATTCTTGGGAAAATTTTAATCCACCTCTCACAGTAATTAATATAACAGGCAGACAGAAAATCAGTAAGGACATAGAAGATTTGAACTATGTGTTTGTTTGTAACAAATACAAACATTTGTTTTTGTCTGAACTATTTGTATTTGTTTAACCCAAATTCGGAAAGAGATGGGAATACCAGATCACCTGACCTGCCTCTTGAGAAACCTATATGCAGGTCAGGAAGCAACAGTTAGAACTGGACATGGAACAACAGACTGTTTCCAAATAGGAAAAGGAGTACGTCAAGGCTGTATATTGTCACCCTGCTTATTTAACTTATATGCAGAATACATCATGAGAAACGCTGGGCTGGGAAGAAGCACAAGCTGGAATCAAGATTGCCGGGAGAAATATCAATAACTCAGATATGCAGATGACACCACCCTTATGGCAGAAAGTGAAGAAGAACTAAAGAGCCTCTTGATAAAAGTGAAAGAGGAGAGTGAAAAAGTTGGCTTAAAGCTCAACATTCAGAAAACTAAGATCATGGCATCTGGTCCCATCACTTCATGGGAAATAGATGGGGAAACAGTGGAAACAGTGTCAGACTTTATTTTTGGGGGCTCCAAAATCACTGCAGATGGTGATTGCAGCGATAAAAGACGCTTACTCCTTGGAAGGAAAGTTATGACCAACCTAGATAGCATATTAAAAAGCAGAGACATTACTTTGCCAACAAAGGTATGTCTAGTCAAGGCTATGGTTTTTCCAGTGGTCATGTATGGATGTGAGAGTTGGACTGTAAAGAAAGCTGAGTGCGAAGAATTGATGCTTTTGAACTGTGGTGTTGGAGAAGACTCTTGAGAGTCCCTTGGACTGCAAGGAGATACAACCAGTCCATCCTAAAAGAGATCAGTCCTGGGTGTTCATTGGAAGGACTGATGCTGAAGCTGAAACTCCAGTACTGTGGGCACCTCATGTGAAGAGTTGACTCATTTGAAAAGACCCTGATGCTGGGAGGGGTTGGGGGCAGGTGGAGAAGAGGATGACAGAGGTTGAGATGGCTGGATGGCATCACTGACTCGATGGACATGAGTTTGAGTAAACTCCGGGAGTTGGTGATGGACAGGGAGGCCTGGTGTGCTGCAATTCATGGGGTTGTAAAAAGTCAGATAGGACTGAGCAACTGAACTGAACTGAAACTATGTATTTGTATGTAACAAGCATTTTTGTTATTTTCAGAGGGGGCACTTATCTGATTTACCTCCTCTGTCACTACCTGAATTAGGAGAAGGATACAATGATACAACAATTGCCAGCAGTAAATATGGAGGTCAAGCAAGGACATTTCATGATATAAAAGATTTTAAGGCCCACCTGAGGGCTTTCCTGGTGTCTCAGTTAGTGAAGAATCTGCCTGCAATGCAGGAGACCCAGGTTCAATCCCTGGGTTGGGAGATGCCTTGGAGAAGGAAATGGCAACCCAACTCCAGTATTCTTGGCCTGGGACATCTCAAGAGGAGCCTGGTAGGAGACAGTCCATGATGTCAAGAAGACTTGGGCATGACTTAGCAACTAAACCACCACCACTAAGGCCTACCTGAAAGTAGGAGTAAGGAACAATTGACTATGGGCAGGAAGATGGTAAACAGAGAGTAAGATGTCTTAAAAATAAAAAAGAGTGAACAGTATAAATTGGGGCTAAGCATTAGGAGGAAGGAAAAAACTCTTTTCAGGGAATGCAGATAAACTTGGATGGAAAACAAGATGTTACAGAAAAAATTGCAATAGGTTTGGAATCATCCTAGATTTTCTATTTACTAACTCTATCTATGTTTTAGACTACTTATTGACATTTTTGTTTTAATTAAAAACTTTTTTTAAAAATTTTTTTTCGACTGCACAGCAGGTGGGATCTTAGATCCCTGACCAGGGAACAAACCCAGGCCTGCTGCATTGGAAGCTGGAGTTTTAACTATTGGACCAACAGAGAAGTCCCTTATTAACATATTTGAATCTCAGGTTCCTCTTGCATAATATAAGGATCATTCTATCATCGGCTCTCAGAGCACTGTATATTTCTCTTTCATCCCCCTAGCTACATTTGCAATTTAACATGTGTTTTCACAATAGATTATGTCTTTAAAAAGACATAATCAATAAAAGATTATGCCTTAAAAGGCTGAGTGCCAAAGAATGGATGCTTTAGAATTGTGGTCCTGGAGAAGACTCTTGAGAGTCCCTTGGACAGCAAGGAGATCAAACCAGTCAATCCTAAAGGAAATTAACCCTGAATAATCATTGGAAGGAGTGATGCTGAAGCTGAAGCTCCAAGACTGTGGCCACCTGATGTGAAGAGTGAACTAATTGAAAAGGACCCTGATGCTGGGAAAGAGTGAGGGAAAGAGGAGAAGGGGGCAACAGAGGATGAGATGGTTAGTTAGCATCACTAAATCAACGGGACATGAATCTGAGCAAACTCCTGGAGAGAGTGGCCTGGTGTGCTGCATGCAGTCCATGGAGTCACAAAGAGTTGGACGTGACTTAGCGACTGAATAACAACAACATGGGTTTCCCCCAACTTAATTTGAATTACTTCAAGCTTGTAAAAAAAAATATAAACAGTACACAGTGAACAACCTTATACCCTGCATCTAAATTTCCTAATTGTTAATTTTGCCTAATTTTGTCACATTCATCTCCCCAATTATTAACATCTTGCCACAGTTATTATAACTTATTTGTATGTTCTCTCTCTTTTTCTCTCTCACACTGCACTCCTTCTCCTTTTCCATTTGAAAATAAATTGCAGACAGAACTACACTTCTAAGAACTTTAGCAAGTAGCTCCTAAGAACTTGGACATTCTTTTTTTTTTTTTTTTTTTTAGAACTTGGACATTCTAAAAAATAACCATGATATAACACTCCAGATATTTAACATTGATACCATAACACAATCTAACACAAAACCAAACTTTCCAGTTGTGCATTTAGCAGCTTTTTCAGTCTTTGATCCAGGATCCAAACAACAGTGATAGACAAAATTTAGTTACCATATTTCTTTAGCCATCTTTATTCAAGAAGTGCCCTACTATTTTTACTTTCATGATACAGTCAGGACCTCCATAGCCATGGATTCAACCAATGCTGGATCAAAAATATTCCCCCCCAAATTCCAGAAATTTCTGAAATGCAAAACCTGAATTTTACATGCACTGATAACTCTTTATACAGCATTCACATTGTAATTAAAATTATGTATACATCATTTGCATGTAGTAGATATTATAAGTAATCTAGAGATGATGTAAGATATGCAGGAGGATGTGCACAGGTTATATGCAAATGTGTGTGTGTTAAGTTGAATCCAACTCTTTGTGGCCCCATGGACTGTAACCTGCCAGGCTCCTCTTTCCATGGGATTTCCCAGTCAAGAATACTGGGGTGGATAGCCATTCCCTGCTTGAGGGGATTTTCTCTACCTAGGGATCGAACTGATGTCTCCTGTGGCTCCGTCTGCCTGTATTGGCAGGCAGATTTTTTTTACCGAGTCACCTAGAAAGCGCAAATATGCAAATACAACTCAAATGGTAAAGAATCCGCTTCAGATGCAGGCAACATGGGTTCAATTCCTGGGTTGGGAAGATCCTCCGGTGAAGGGATAGGCTACCCACTCCAGTATGCTTGGGCTTCCCTCGTGGCTCAGATAGTAAAGACTCTGCTTGCAATGTGGGAGACCTGGGTTCGATCCCTGGGTTGGGAAGATCCTCTGGAGAAGTGAATGGCAACCCACTCCAGTATTCTTGCCTGGAGAATCCCCATGGACAGAGGACCCTGGCAGGCTACAGTCCATGGGGTCACAAAGAGTCAGACGTGACTAAGCCCAACATGACACCATTTTATATAAAGGATTTGAACATCTGCAGATTTGAGTATCTGAGGAGTTCCTGGAGCCAATCCCCCACTGATACCAACAGACAACTGCACTGCTTTGTTTAAGAATCCAGAACAGTTATTTTATGCAATGTTCTACAGCCAGATTGTCTGATTGCTTTCTCATGATGAAGTTAAACATTCTTGACAATTTGGCAAGTGATGTGTCCTCCAGTGATTCAGATCAGAAAGTACAGGTCTCCATTTTAAGATAACTCCACTGTCAGATTTTTTAAAAGACAAAAACTCATTTATTCAACAGATAACATGATCTTTGGGCTAAAAATAGCCTAGAGAGTATATTAAAAACCAGAAATATCAGTTTGCAGACAAAAGTTTGTCTAGTCAAAGCTATGGTTTTTCCAGTAGTCATGTATGGATGTGACAGTTAGACTATAAAGAAAGCTGAGCACCAAAGAATTGATGCTTTTGAACCGTGACGTTGGAGAAGACTCTTGAGAGTCCCTTGGACTGCTAGGAGATCAAACCAGTCAATCCTAAAGGAAATCAACCCGCAATAGTCATTGGAAGGATGGATGCTGAAGCTGAAGCTCCAATACTTTGGCCACCGGATGCCAAGAGCAGACTTATTGGAAAAGACCTTGATGCTGGGAAAGACTGAGGACATGAGAAGAGGGTGCCAGAGAATGAGATGGTTGGACGGCGTCATCAACTCACATGAGCTCGAGCAAACTCCAGGAGACAAGAGAAGGACAGCGAAGCCTGGGTGTGCTATAGTCCATGGGGTCCCGGAGTGGAACACAACTGAGCGACTGAACAACCACAAATATAACCCCCCTTTACAAGTGTCCACAGAAGGTGAGAGCAGTGTGGTGAGTGGAAAAGACACTGGCATGAGAACTGAGGTTTAGAGCCAATTCCGTCAGTAATTAATTGTGGGTCCTTATGTTAAACTCCAAAAAACTTCATCTATTAAAAAGAGAGAAAGAGAGAGGATTGAGCCAAAAGATTCCTAAAGATCCTTTGAATACTAATATTCTATGACTGTGAATCAACTTGTAATAGAGACAGAGGTGGATTTTTGAATCAGGAGACTGGATTTCAGCACGTTTGGCCACATACCAGCTATGTGAAAATGGACAAACCATTTAATCTCTAAGCCTTAGAGATTTTCCTGACATGGTTCAGAAAGATTAAGGGGTTATTGCAAGTCATATAAACCATAAATACTTGCCTGACAGGTATTATTGTATAATGTCCAGTTTTTCTCTTTTTGCTCTAATCAGCTAATGAGAAAAGGCAATCTAAAGCGACCCAGACTTCATCAATTTGAATTTTTAAAACCAGGAAATGCCAAGAATTAAGAACTAAGCATCATATTCTGTTTATGGAGTTTATAGTTTCAATCCATAAGTGCTTTTGATTTGATGATTAATCATATTGGCTAAAGTTACTTGTACAGCGTAGTCCCTCATAAGAAGATGTTCATTGTTCCTGGAAGCCCAAATTATGACGGGGAGAAAACAGTGAACACGGTATACGAGAATGGTAACAGGTACTTACAAACCAAATTCCTTTTTCAGTAATCAATTTTGTGTTGAGCCGTCAGGACCTCTGGGGATGACAACAAACAGGCCAGTGCAGATGGGAAGGTGTCCTGTTTTGTTTTGTGTTTTCAGTGAGGTGGGCAGCCCTAGAATAAACTAAACCTCCCTGGCAAAAAAAAAAAAGGGGCATATTTTCCCATGAGACGTCTAGTGGGACTTGTCACACAGGCCAGCCCTATATATTCTTTATATTAACCGCCCTAGAGTTTCTTTCCTGCCTTTGAACGGAACTCTGGGAACCTAGTTCTTTTGCTCACGGTGGTTACATTTTTTCCGATTATTCAGCAGAACCGGTAAAGTATTTCCCTGGAAAAGGTTTAGGGCAAGCACACGCCCCTTGGTTCGGGTGGAGTAACGCGCGAACTATCTATGACGAGAGTGCCTGGCGCACTGCTATTGCTCAAGACTCGAGACGTTGCCAGAAAATGTGTAACGAAGCGGCGGAGGAACGGCGGCACGGCAGACGTTGGTGCGGTTGAACGCGCTGGATCTCCCAGTCCTAGCAAGGGGTCGCACCGCCCAGGTGGCCGCGATCCGCTCCGCGGCGCGCACCGCGCGCCTTTCCCTGCCCACCCCGCTAGTGCGCACGCGCGCCTGTCATCCGGGTGCTGGTGGCGGCTGCAGGTTGCGCCGGGGTGGCGAACAGGGGGCGGGGCCTGCGGCTCATTGTGCGCAGCGCTGCGCGGCGCCGGCGGCCGGCGAGGCCTGGGTCGAAGTTGGAGCCGCTGCCGCCGCCCTGCAGCTCACTCGCTGCCTTGGCAGCGCGCCGCTCTTCTAAAATGGCTGCCGCTACCGGTGCTGTGGCAGCCTCGGCCGCCTCAGGTCAGGCAGAAGGTAAAAAGATCACCGATCTGCGGGTCATCGATCTCAAGTCCGAGCTGAAACGGCGGAACCTGGATATCACCGGAGTCAAGACCGTACTCGTTTCCCGACTCAAGCAGGTGAGGCCCGGCGAGGTCCGGGAAGGCGAGCTTAGGCCGCGCCTCGGAGCCCCCACTACCGCCGCAGACTCTGGCCGTTCTCAGCCTCAGGGGCCCACGGTGCGGTGCGGTGGGGAGGTCCCGGGCGTCGCCCGCGCGCGCGCGGGGAGAGTGAGGACCCTCACGCAGCACCCCCGCCCCCGCGCGCCGGGCCGGGCCTGCCAGGGGCCCGCGAGCCGCCCGGGACTGGCCGCCGTAGCCGAGCGCGCCCCTGCCTCCCCCGGGACGTCCCCGCCAGGCTGCCGAGGGCTGCGGCCGGCCGGCGCGGCCTCCCAAGGGCGGTCGTGGAGACCCGGGAGGCGCTTGGTCCCCAGTCTTTAGCGATGGTGAGCGCGTGCATTTCTTGGCCTCGTAGGGACTGGTTACTTTGGTGACTTCTGCAAAGTTACCGTTTAATTGTGCCCAACCGTTTTCTCCCCATACTAGCGGGGGATTGGTAGTGGGATTTGATGGGTGGGCAAGAGAAAGGTTTGTCCGCTGGGTTTTCAGTTTTTGCATTAGCACAATGATTTGCTTTTTCTTCCCTGATTATCTTTCTGGTTTGAGTGAGCGTTGGAATTATAGTAGAGGAGAACCAAGTTTGCATAATAGACATTAGGGAAGCTTCTTTTAGCTCTTTAGTAGCTAGCAACTTTTCTGCAATTGAGAATATTTAGAGTTTTGTTCAGTATGATAATATGTGATAGTTAATTTTCTCGACTAGGTAAAGTGTAAAGCTCCATGTGATTTTTCTACCTAATGATATTTCCTCCTGAAAGTTTCTCTCACTTGTGTAGTTTAATTGCTCGTTTGTGAAGTTGGTTTATGAAATTACTGGCAATCCTAATGTCTTGAGGCTTGAGGTTTGTTTTTTTTTTTTTTTTCATTTCGTTTTTATAAAATAAGTTTAGATAGACTGTGTAGCATATTAACTTCTCTTTCTAATGTAGGCTATTGAAGAGGAAGGAGGCGATCCAGATAATATTGAATTAACTGTTTCAACTGATACTCCAAACAAGAAACCAACCAAAGGCAAAGGTTGTTACGAGTTATAAACATATTTTAAAATATATTTTGGTTATATAACTTGCCTCTGCTCTTATGCCACTTGCCCTGTTTATATAGTGCTACTCTTTGCTATTTCCCTCTGGCACTCTGCCTTGTTGGGTCAAGGAAGAAAAGTACTGTTGCCAGGCTTTGGGTGACTAGTAGCCCTTAAGATTTGGCTGAAGTTGTCCTGAAAGTGAGACCAGTTTTTTATTGCTTCCGAATAAATTACAAAGTCAAGTTTCATAATGTTTCTTCCTTCATAGTGTGAAGACCTGAAGAATAAAATGATGGTTTAAAACATATCTACCTTGCCCCACAATTGGCAGAGTATTGATGGAATTCCTACCAAATCTTTCACCTTGGCTCCTTGCTGTTTTCTCTAGTATATTAAAATTTTATAACCTTTGTGTTTACTATTTTGTTTGTCTTGGTGAACTTAATTTGCATTTAGGCCATTATACGTTCTAATTTTCAGTAGAACTCAAAAAGACCTCACCAGTCATACTAACAAGGCAGGGGAAAAAGAATCCAAAATCCATGACTAATTAGCTTAAAAAAAAAAGTTTTAACTTACAGGGATATATTAAAGATTTCAATTTTCTAACTTTTAAACTAGGCCATATATATACTCATATTTCTGGGATATGGTGATTTAGTGAATAGGTAAAGTTGGTTTTAAATTAACATTTTAACACTGTAAGTGGGGCTTAGATATGTTTAGAAGTTTCTAGTTGGTGAAATCCTTATTGGAATAACTACGGATTTCTCCCCTTTGTCCCATAAGGACAGTGTAAGAGGGTGGGCATCATGTGGGTATCTGAATCCTGGTACCTACCTACAATTTCCATGCAGCTACAGCATTTTAAAAACCTAACACTCTTTACTGCTTCAAGTGATCGATTTGCTACTCTCTGCTGTAGACCAGATTGATTGCAACTACAGTAAAATGGTTGAATGGAATAACTTTGAAAAGAAGGGAATAGTCAAGTTTGAGCTTAAGCAATCTGTATGAGTATCAGGACCAGGGACATCTTGATGGTAGCTTTCTCTGTGAGTTTTCCTACCTTTGCAAGAGTCTTCTATTTGTGCCAAAGGAAATTAAAAAGGGCTAAGAAGCATTTCCAGGATAGGATGGGGATGACTAGTGGAAAAGGAGTTTAAAGGAGTTACAAAGTTACCTTGAAGATATGTGGCTTTCAATTAATTCTTGCTCATTGTATCACTTTGAGAGATAAATTTCCCAGTGGTTAGAGAAGCTTATTGAGAAGCCTCTGCTGACAAACCCAGAGGCAATTTCAAAATGAGGAAGCATAAGAAAATTCAGGAATAAGTACATCAGGTATTAATTAACCCTGTTTGTTATAGTGATTTCTTATAAAGATTTTAATTCATGTAAATTATTTAGCACATTGTGGTAGTTTGATAGATGTTATATGTTCACTATGGTCCCAAGTTATTCAAGTTGATTAATGACTTAGCATGTACGTGTAAAGTAAATCTCATTTATTTTCACCTACTTTTAATTTCTGTGTGTATCCCTTTCTTTTTCAGTCATTAAGAACTTCATCTTACTGTTAGAAATAAATTCAGCAATATACCATTTTAGGAAGTTTTTCAGTATACATATGTACATATGTATATATGTGTATGTGTCTATGTTAATTTTTCCCTCTTGTATAGATTATAAGGATACTTGAAATTTAATTTTTCCATAATCCTGATGTTAAGGTATCTTGTGGTATTTAGTTAGGAGTTGCAATATTATTTGTCTGTAGCAGACTACAACTGAGTACTTCATCAGACTCATTCTGAGACATGTGTGATAAATAGCTCTTGTCTCCTTGAGTTCCATTTATCATTGTTCTCAAAATCCTATGAATTACAAAGAATATAATGTAAACCCCCAACTAAGAACTTGGTTTGAATTAATTTACAGTTAAGATGCTTATAAATAAGATTCTTTTAAATTTTAAGTTTAGAAATAACTTTTAGGCATCAAATTTGAATAGGAAAACTTTAAATATATCAGTAATTAACAGATTTTTAAAATGAAATATTATTCTAAAATAAGGTTCTGTTTGCCACATCTTATTTCACTTAGTATCTGTCTTGAAAATAATTTTATCTTGATCATACTACTATTCTTTCAGTGGGTCTACTTCTTTTTTATAAAAGTGGAAAATTTACTAGACTATCTGTAAGTGTCTCTTAATTCTGAAATTTAATAATTATATGTAACCAGGAGCCAGAAGAAAAATTCTTTCTGTTGAGCTAAAATAGATATATAAGAAAGGAACAGGAAAGCTCATAGTTCCTCAGTTAGTATAGATTTCTTCAGCTGAGCATACTAAAATAGGAAAAGAATAAAGAAAGGGTTTACTTAGAGGCAGTCATGTAGACAAGAGCAAGATAAAACATTTAATAGCTTGTTAGACAAAATAAATAATTCTTATGATGATGTGGCTTAATGTAGCAAGTAAAAGTTAAATGGTGTTGAATGATAAGGCGAGAGAAGCTTCTTGGGTCTTAACATTTCTTAGGTGAAATATTAAGCTTGTTCTCTTACAAGTGCAGAGTCCCTGTTTCTTAAGAAAATTTTTTGTGTTAAAATGACTGTGTTTTGACAGATTAAAGGAAAAGGAATCTGCATTCTTCCGTATTTTGTGGAATATTTTAAAAATACTGTTATTAGAAGCATAAACTCACGAACTTATAACAAATGTTGATAATGTTTTAGTGAGTCCAAATATTTATGACTGACATATTTGTAAAAATCTATCTGCTTGTAGTTGGTATGGTGAAATTTGTAGCTTAGATTGGTTCTCACTTCTGAACCTTTTCTCATTCTCCTTGCTATGTAGAAGAAAGCTTCACCAGTGAGATTTATGGTCATTATTTGGGTGTGTGTTAGAAAGCGGTTAAACAGGTAGAACTAACTCCTCATTAGCCTTTTAGAGATTATAGATGTAAACTTTCTTTTGGTTCACTTGTAAATAGCATATCATTCTTTTGGATTTTCAACCTTTAGAGTCACCTAAACTTTGGCAAAAGTTACTTAAAGTAGTTAATCAGCGCAGTATTCGGAAGTGTATGTAGTGCACTTAACTGTACTGTACTACATACAGTAGTATAGTACTTAACTGTATTGAAACTCACAATACTTCAGGTTTTTAAAAATCTGATTTGTTCCTACTATAGAAACAAGTATATTTTTGGGTTACACATTTATCCAGACATAATGCCTGATTATGTGTGGAAAGTACCATACTCTCAGTGTAGACAATCAGTATAGTTAATTATGTATTTACTCTGTTAAGCTTTCTAAAATTTGTATGCCAAATAAGAATATAGTAATTAACCACATAAAATGGATTTAATATAGTATCATAGTAAACTGTAACTTTTTTTAACTGTAGTATGTTTGGATGTTAAGGAAATTTTAATCAGAACTGTGGCATTGAGAAGCATTCTGAGGCCAAAAGTGTCAGATCTTTTTTGGGTACCTACTGGGCTAGAAGCTATGTGAGGGT